AACAATCAAACTCCCAAAAACTATCATTCTTCAAACTTTACTGGAATCTTTACGGTCACTTCACGGACTAAGGCCACTTTCCTTCAGTGATTTTGTTTAGCTTCATAAGTATTTTAAACTTCTTTGATTTTAAAATTTTTGGCTTCTTTACATTCTAACGGGGGGACTTGGATATCAGTACTGTAGCTTTTGAGATGAAGGTTGCCATAACTAATATGACTGACCTCATCCGAGCCATTATGGCTAGTTATTGTGATTTGTGTACAATGGAGGGTCGAGTAGATTATGAAGCAAGTAGAAGGACTACCAAAATTCCTTCAAATGTAATCGTAGCCCACCTTGTAGATATAAGGGAGAAATATTGCATTCCATGTAATATAGAATTTTTAGCCCCATCTTCTGATGAGCGAGATTGCTTTTGTAGGCATGGGTGCGTCGCTGTTAGTGAGTTTCTTCTGAAGGGGGACTTTGTCAGATCCTTCATCCTTTCTTTAGAGTCGTAATTAGGTTGTACGGGTTAACACCTATCCAACTCATCCCTAATGCATGGGCCCAGCTAGTGGGGACATATTTCTTGTGGAAAAAGACCTCTTTAGGCTAGGATAGGCCCCCCCATGTCTTCCAATCTATCTTCCAACCTTGGGTTTTGGGTAAAAGGGATTCAAAGTGTTGGTATTCTCTGTGTCCATGGGGGGCCATTCTCCTTTTGTCATAGGCCTTTCTTTTTCCATCAAGAAGTGGAAGAAAACTTGGTTTTGTGTCAGAGGGCAATGGCAAACATGTGTGGGTGACAAAGTCCCTTATATGACAATGCCAACCAGTTATTCCGAAGCTGGTGAGTGTTTATTTCTTCAGTTTCATGTTTCTTAACTTTGAATTAGCTCTGACCTTTCTTTGTTGTTGCATGGTCGGTTGATCGTTTCGAACTAACCCAAGCAGAGTTGGGTGTNTTAGCTCTGACCTTTCTTTGTTGTTTCAGGGTCGGTTGATCGTTTCGAACTAACCCAAGCAGAGTTGGGTGTTATAGAGGACATTTACCTCCGTCTTCTATCTTCACGAGAGTTTGACCATTTGATAAACTCAAAACGGTTCTTTGAGGAGTTTTGCTTTATGGCCCAAATAGGTAATTTCTTCAGTATAAATCTTCTTTAAATTGTTGATGGGTAGTTTGTACTGACCCTCTATTCCTTTTGGAGAAAATTTCAAAAAAATGAGGCATCTCATCTCTGACATGGCCTCCATTCTTGCTGCCACCTCTACTGTAGGTAAAAAGGGGTTCAAGCACTCATTTGTTGTAGCAAAATAAGTGAGGGACCAAGTAGAAAAGATCATCAAGGAGGCTGCTAGTCGGGAGGGAAAAGGATGACATTCTATAAAGGATAAGGGGAAGAACAAAGTGGATGGGGTCCACAAAAAAGAAGTATATATTATCCTCTACTGGATAGGGAATGTCACTAGTCAGCCCACTACCTTGCTCCGAAGTCCCAGCAAAAAATAAATGGTGGCCTCTATTACTATGGCTAAAGGGTGCAGAGGAGGCCAACTGTCGTGGAGCTTTTAAGGTAAGAACTATTGAGATGGTGAGGACCTCAAACGACTTGACAACTGCCTCAGATGCAACTCTTCGAACCAAGCTCTCCCTATCTAAGAAGAGCGACGGATCAAGGAGGCTGCTGGTCGGAAGGGAAAAGGATGACATTCTATAAAGGATAAGGGGAAGAACAAAGTTGAGGAGGTCCACAAAAAATAAGTATATATTATCCTTTACCGGAGAGGGAAGGTCAATAGTCAGCCCACCACCTTGCTCCGAAGTCCCAGCAAAAAATAAATGGTGGCCTCTATTACTATGGCTAAAGGGTGCAGAAGAGGCCAACTATCGTGGAGCTTTTAAGGTAAGAACCATTGAGATGGTGAGGACCTCAAGCGACTCGACAACTGCCACATATGCAACTCTTTAGAACCAAGCCCTCCCTGTCTAAGAAGAGCGACGAACTGGCCCCGGAGGCCCTGTCCATGCTTATTCCAAAAATTCAGATTTCAACTGCCTCCACATTCCACAAGTACTGGACAGA